CCTAAGTAGTTTACCAAGATTACTGTTTCATACAACTTCCTAGTTTATTGCTTTATTTGACACAGTTCTTGTGCATTTGGGCCTATATGGTTGATATTGCATAGAGATATGTGATGAGAAGTCAAAACATGCTTATGCATGCATGTGAATTATGAAGTTACATAATTTTCCTGCTTGGATATTTCAGACATGTCGGTTCACTAATTCTTGTAGTATGTGAGATTATGAATTAATGATATAGTGCCTTTTCTCTTCTTTTTAATCTGGGGCCAAGTTTAATCTTTTTGGTCTATTTAACACAGTCTAAAGTTAGTTTACGCAACGGAGGCTGCAAAGAAGTTCGATTTGCTGCTAAAATTGTAAGTGTTTTATTACTTGCCTTTCTGGACACCAGTAAGTCTTATTGCAGTTGATATTTTTACCATTGTTTTGGTTTAGTGCTTGTGGGAGCCCTCAATCTATCAATAATTCTTGTCCACTTCTTGTGAAATTTTATCTGAAAAAATTTATAGGGCCTATTTTATATCTGTTGTTGCATACAAAGTGTCCCCTTTTAGTCGTCAAAATTGTATCTGGTGATTGCTGCATGATTGTATATGCCTATTGCCTTTTCAGACTGCGATTCTTTTTCAGAGTTATTTCAGCAAAATCAACAAGACAGTGGCTTGAGTTCTGATGCTTAATTTGGATCCCACGGATACTATGACAGTATTTTTTTACCCCCTTTTCTTTTCCCTTTCCAGACACCCAATGACTTACAAATTAAAGCGGACATGGCAAAGAGACTAATGGAGAGCGGTTATCGTGTCAAGGTATTGTCCTTCTTCCTTGTTATAGTTTAGAGCTAATGGTTTTCCCTGGAATGAGCTAACGGAGTATTTTATCAAGCCTATACTAACGGAGCGATTGCATCATCAAGTGTGTCAGAATACCTGATTGTTATTGGAAATTGTGCTAGTTTTATATATAAACTTGGAAATAAGACTGAATCATTAGTTTCGTTCTGACACTTTGACACTTGCAAAATGCCCATTTGCTTAAAATCTTCTTTTCTACTGGAATTGGTTTATATTTCACTTGGAAAATATTTTTCATGTTTCCTTTTTTTTTACCAGTGTGTAGCTATTGGTAATGTGGATAAGGGTGAGGACTCTGCAACATTGTTTTCTCGATTCTCTGCTTTGGTAAGTATACTTCGTAATTTCGTGGCCCTGCCCAAACCTCTTTTACTTTTTGATTTTGGCAATAACACTTTGATATTTAGATTGAAGATATAGCTGTTGTTGAAACTGATACCCGAGTGGAGGAAAAGGATCAGGCACATGTTATTATGAGGCATGTTAAGTATGGTCCATTAAAAAAAGGCTCATTAAAGAGAGCATCTATGGACAAGAAAGCAGCAAGTGCTAGTGTTCAAGAGGTGGGAGGTGATGATGACGTTCTTTCTGAAGAAAGAGATGATGTTGAGCAAAAGGAAATATCTGGCTGGACAACAGCTAATGCAGATGATGATTTTGATGAACTTTTTGACCTCAACGACAATGCAGATGGGGTTTCTAAGAGTTCAAGGAGTGAGAAATTCTCAATTGCACGTGAACCATCGAGCTCATCAGAAGGTGGTTCTTCACATTATCCACGACCTGGTGGGAGAGACACATTGCAGTCAGGATCCCAGTTTCCTGATAGGGTGAGGCAACCACCATTGAATATGAATGCATCGCCCCAAAGAAGAGAAACTGAAGGTGTCAATCGTGCGTATCCTGCATCTACAAACTCCAGGAACCACGGACAAAATTTTGCTCCAGATAATCCTGATCCCCAGGGCCCAAGTTATGGTGTCTTCAGAGCTCGACAAGGCAATGACGCTCATGGGAAGCAGAATGCACCAGCAGAAGTTAATAGATACAAGCAGAGGAATGCACCTGATAGCAGGAGGAATTCCAGCCCTCCAAGGGCGGCCGGGCATCAGAATGGACCCATGTCTGACTTCAAATTTGGCAGGGAGCAAGCTGTTAATAGGGATGAGCAAGGTAGATGGGGTGTATTTAGTGGGGAAAGCACAAACGTGATACCAAACCGGACTTTTGATGGCCAAGCTAAGGTGCAAAGATGAAGCCTCGTGGATCACTTGGTATGCAATAATCACTATATATATATATATATATATATATATATATTCATCAGGCCTGGTTTCTGTTCAGCAGCTCATGAGAAATTTCCGGTTTTGTGCTGGAAATTTGTTCATCCTTCTCGCAAGGGAGAAACAACACGTTTTTGTGTTTGCTCTGCAACATTCCTCCTGTCTGAAAGGAACGTATTAGCATTTTACTGACAGGTGAAGCAAGCAATCAGAAGGTCGATCTGGTCCTAATTTCCTCTTTTGTTGGCTTCCAGTACAAAATAGCTCAATAACTTAAATTAATGGTTTAAACTGTTGAAACCAGCAAAGGAAGCCCGAAAACTATACAAAGTGTTTAAAACTCCGCTAGAGAAGACTGCTCGCTGAGCAGGTAGAGTAAACCCGGAACCATTAACCAATTACCCAACACCTCCATTTCCGACTTTGGGTTGTTATCACAGTTTCGGCCGCCTTCGCACTCTCGACCTTGGGTTGTTATTTTATTTTGTACTCTGAGTTTCTCGGTTTAAAATTCTCGAGCAAATTACTTGGGTAGTTATCATTGAACTTTTTGAATTGTCAAGATTTGGTTCCTTAATTAATTATTAATAATATATAGTCAACATTTGGTCCCTTAATTATTCATAGTATGTTTTTACTTACTGAACAATCAAATGCGTAAATTTTGCACCATTTTATCTGATTTTATCGTTAATTCTAACGAATCTAAGGGTTCATATGATTTGCAAGACATACTACTGTTAGTTAGATCTGACAAAATTAGATAGAAGGGGCCAAAATTTATACTCTTAATAATTTAATGGGTAAAAATATATTATTAATAGTTGAGTAGTGAAAAACTGGACATCCCTTATCAGTGTGTGGCCAGCTATCTCTTGAGCACAGGTTTAGGTTTGGCCTCAATGGGAAAAAATGGAGCGCCTAACAATGCATCTTCACAGACCAAGAATTACGAGATCACCCCTTTCATTTTTGGGTGACGGAGTGATTGTATTATTCGAGTCTTTTTTTTCATGTCTTTTGGGGGGGTTTGGAGAAAGCTGCAATCAATAGGATTTCCCTAATCCTCCCTTCCCGAAAGGAAGAGCGTGAAATTCTTTTCCCTCCCGCAGGAACCGAGAGATTGGATCTAGCCATAAGAAGAATGCTTGGTATAAATAGACTATGGGGAAAGTTTAGTAGTTACCCGTTAATTGTCCTCAATCCCATTTGTCCAAATTTGAACCCATGACACGCTCATTTGTTAAATTCATATATATTACTCTTTATCACATTCAAAAAGGTTTGTTGTACATTTGCAAGTTGTAGTTGTAACAAGAAAAAGGATTTCATTCTTTTCTATCTATTGGTTTTTTTTTGTTCCTTTTATTTTTTATATACCAAAGACTAGAGGTACCTCGACTCTGCAAGGCACAGCCAGGACCCCCTAGAAACTTAGTTGAATACATAATAACAAATCATTTTGGTACATAATGAATAGAGATATTAGAGAAAATTGAGTATAAAAATAATTAAAAATTTGTTGTGAAGAAAAATTCCAATAATCAAGTTAGCCCCCTATTTTTTTGTGATTTGAACAAAGATTTTTTAACTAGTATTACGTGCATATAATGGTACCAAAAAAGAAGAGAAAACAAATCCATTATGAGTGCATTGTCGGTTTAATAACAACATAATTTTAGTTGTAACAAAACAAAAAACAATCATATTATTTCTAGCACTTTAATAAACAGAAAAAGTTTAAAAAACCACCAAAACATGTTACAGTTTTCAACATCAATAAAAACATATAAACGTGCACATTTTTCTTTCTTTTTAAGAGAAAAAGCAAGTTAATCCACTCATTTAAATCATGCCTAATAGCATTACAAATAGGTGAGAACATTATCTCACCAAATAGCTCTAGAATACAAATAGTAATTTTAGATAAAAATATGAATGCCATATTTCCAGATCTACATATACAAATTCAAAACAACAATTAGTTTGATAGCAAAAATGTCTTCTTAATTAAAATTAAATTTTGTAATAATACTTTATCAAGTGACACTCTAGATTGAAAGCCTCAATGCTAACTTCCACCACTAACTACACTCCTTTGACAATTGCAATCATTTCTACTAGTTAAAATATAATATCTAAAGAAACTTTATCAACTCCTTCAGCCAAATAATAATGATATGTCTAGTTCCATGCCTAGCAAGTTAGCAATTATCTCAAACTCTAATTAAATTATCTATCATCAGGGACAATAAAAAAAAATAAGATTACAAAGTCATATAAAACCAGTTTAAACAAAAGATTCTGAAATCTAATTTTACACTTCTTTTATTCTCAAGATATTATTTGTTAAAATTTAAAATCATGAAAATAAACTACCTGTCATGGATATAGGCTAGTAATTCAAAATGAAGAGATACGAAATATTTTCTTCACATCCCAAATTACTGAGCCCAACAATTATTTTACATATCATCCACTTGATCCATTAAATAAGCACTTTTCATTATTAAGAAACTTTATATAAATCAAACTATCAAAATATAATTATCTATCCACAAATTTTTCATCAAGCTTCAAAGTACTGGTGATTCACTTTCCATGCAATATTTATTTTGTGTTTTGGATGCAAATAAAACAACTAAAACAAATAGAAAATTCCTTTTATCAAAGAGCACCGTGAGCACCAGTTGATTAATACTATTTGTGAGCACTTTTTCTCTGAGAAAGCAACTTGTGTCTGAAAGCTTTCGAGACCTTATGGAGGTTATGCTTTTCATCTGAAATTGAAGACTATGGAACACCAAAAGACTCTGAAACCGTAGAAATCAAAAAGGCCCAAACGAAAGAATGCAGACAATTAAAAGTTTCAACTCATATTGTTAGAGTGAGATAAACGTTATGAGTGCAAAATTTAATCTTCATTTCAATACCCCAAGTTTAACTCATTTAATTGAGTAGTAAATTAAATGAATTAAACATATACAAAAGACACATGTCATGTGCTTACAAATATACTCTCAGGAAAGTGAAGCAAAATTTAAAGGAGAAATGGCTCTCAAACATACTCTCAGGTCTACTTACAAACTTATTTCATTTGGGCATTTTGTCAAAAAGATTAAGGTCATCACAAAAATTGAATATTTCGTATGAAATTTGATTATGGCTGAGTCGAAAAATATCTTGTCAAGCCTTATTCAGGCAGAAAAGGTGAAAAAGAAACAACAAAATTGCAGCATCACTGTCCCATTTCATTCATCTACAAAACAAAGCAAACGGGAAGAAGATAGCAATTTCAACAGTCAAAAAAATCATCTCAACCTAGAGATTAAAACAAAAAAAGGATTATGGAAACCTCACACTGCTTCCTTCATGATGATTTATAAGTAGTGGTGGTTCTAGCAAGAAGATAGCAACTCCGGCAATGGTGATGGCAGCAGCGAGCTCCTCTTGCTCCTCAGATTCCCTCAATGTATTTGTTGGTTTTCTGTTTTTGGTTCTTTTCTTCTTTTCTTGGAAAGAAAATGGAGTATACAACTCTACAACTGAAAAATTCCGCAAGAATTTTGGAGAGATTCTTATGAGTTCATATGAAACTCATGGTGAAAAATGAATGATGACTAGTCATGAGAGAGTTGAAGGACGAAAATGGATCGGTAGTGATAATTGATGGTGTCTTTGCTAGCAGCCATGAATGGAGGATAAAAAAATCAGAACCAAACAAAATGAGTTTGCCGGTGAGTAGATTTAAAATTGTGTATGAGAGAAATTTATTCTTCAAATTTTGCTTCAATTTTCATTTTGGTTTTTGGTTTTCTATTTTTTTCTCATGGATTTTGTTTCTTGATTTGAGTGTGTGAGAGAGAGTCTGGGTAAGTTTCCAATAAATTCAGATGAAATTTTCGGTGAAATTTTTCGAAGAAGAAGAACTATAGTCAAAGTTCCGTATAAATTAAAGAATCTAATTTAAAATGACAAATATACCCATTATCGATTATACGAAATATGTAAAATGTGGTGTTGCCGTTGTAAAAGTCCTAGATCAGAGACTTCAAAATAATGGAAGGATTAAATTGGTTAAAAAAATTATAAAGGATGAAATTGATTTTAGTGTAAAAGTTTATGGACGAAAATGGTGAAATTCCCTTTTTTTTAATCTGTCGTATGGATTTTCAAATTCTCCAGACTCGGTTGTGCCTTGTAGTAGTATTTGATAGCCTTGTCGAGCAATCGAAACTAATGGATTAAATGTGTTGTTGTCTTGGAAAAAAAATACACTACTGTATAGTTAGTAGTATATTTCTGTCATCTCTTGAGGAAGCAGATTGTTTGGGTTTTGAAGGGTTTTTCCCAAATGGAATTTGACGAGTTTGATGATTACTCGGAGAAAACAGCGGAAAATCCTGAGACGAGCAATGGCGGTGATCAAGTGGATAAATCTGGCGGAGGCCAAGACCCAATTAAGAGGCCAATGCATAAAAGTGATCATCATCATCATCAACGCGTTAAGCGTTCAAGGACGCGGGAAGAGTTCCATGAAGACGAGGAGGAGAGGAGCTCAAGCTACCGTCTCCATTCCCCTTCAAGAGATAGAGAGAGGAGTGGGAGGGAGAGATACAGGAGTAGCCGAGAATCCAAGGACAGGGACAAGCATAAGAGCAGCAAGAAGGAGAGAGATGGGGACAAAATCAAAGAAAGCGACAGAGAAAGAGATACCAACAAAGGCGAAGATAGCGGAAGGAGAGGTCGTGGCCGCGAAGATGAAAGACAGAGAGGTAGGGAGAGAAATCAAGACCTGTCGAATCGTACAAGTCATTCAGAAAGGCATCTGGTTGATGGAGAGAGAGAGGAGAGCCGAGACAGGGAGAAGAATGGTGATAGGGAGTATGGAGGAAGGGAAAGACAGAGCCAGTTACAAGAAGGGGACCGAGAAAGCAGGTAATGCGCGGATTCCCTCAGTGGTTTTGTTATAATTCTAGGGGAACTTTGATGATTTTCTGCCTGACTTGAATGAAAAAGTTATATTTCCTTGTTCTGAGCTAGCTAATAGGTAGAAATGCAGAGTCATGCATTTGCATAGTTGTAAGTTGTTAGGGCCCTTGGGCAGATTTACAACGTACACAAGATAATCTACAAAATATTTGCTTATCGTAAATCAGTTGTCAGTTGGCTTCAAGATTTATATTCTGCTTACAAAATATTCTACTTTCTTAAGTATGTTTTTTTTATTCTGGAGTTAACAATCACACTGGTTCTTGGTAGTTTTTAAGCAAATAATTTGCTTGCACTAAGCTGACCTGTATCGCACCTGTGCTTTTGGCTAACAGAAGTTGAATTGGTTTGGCTTTGTCTCTTGTAACTAAGATCAGGGTCGGTATCTTTAAATGTAACCTGTTTCCTTAAAAAGAGTTGGACAATTTTCTTTTGGCATTTAACCAAGCTGATCTCTGTATACAGAGTTTAATTTAGGTTTGTTCTGGTAGTTAACTGTTACCTCCTACTCTGAGAAGCACAACAGTTGGCTATTATAACTGTTGAGCTTAGTTTGGGTTTTCAGCTCAGTAAATAGTAGTTCATTTATTTCCTTTTAGGATGTTCTAGCCTGTTGATCACTTCTTCTGAGGGTTATAATTGTTATACATGTGTGTGTGTGTGTATTTGGCAGGAGATTTAAAGAAAAAAAGGAAGAAGTGGCCGAGCCACAGGCTGATCCTGAGCATGATCGACGGACAGTTTTTGCTTATCAGGTAGTTAAGTTACCTGACTAATCTGTTTTCCTACTAATTTACTGGCTTACAACAGCATTTCTTCTGACATGGACTTCCTCTTGTGATTTTGGCAGATTTCTTTGCAGGCAGATGAAAGAGATGTCTATGAGTTTTTTAGCAGAGCTGGCAAGGTTTTGCTATGCTAGGGCGGGACCCAAATACTTATCTTACGAGACATTAATTAAATGATACTCCATGTTTTGTTGCAGTGAATTGGAATCTGTATTTGCTTTGTGCCTGCTTCTGCTTGTTTAATAAAAACTAAAAGAACATTACAAATGAGACATACAAGATTTATCTTTGATCTCCTCCTTACTGCCCTGACACTCTACTATATTCGATAAGATGATCTATCCATTGAAGCCAATTTTACCCTTGAAGTTCTTTATTCTGCCATAAATCTTCTGAATCAAGCAATATTTCACCACTTAAAATAATGGATTTCAGCTTATGACTAAAATGCCACAGTAGTGCTGAAGCTGATGTTGTGTAAAATATGCAAAGACTTGTGTGCCTAATAGGATCTAGGTCTTGAATAGATTTGTTGTCTAACCATGATATCTAGCATAATAATTAATGCGACTTGTATGGCTTGTACCAATAGTCTAAAATAAGCTGTAAGCAGGTTTTTCTGCATTTAATAAAAAAGTCTCCCTTGATTTGCTTTTCAAAATAGCTGTTAGCTTGGCAATATGTTGAAAGTTAAACATCTTTTCAATCTTTCAGTAGATTCACAATATTAACTTCTTTTTCAATTTCAGATAAGCTGCTTATAACTTATTTTGAGCTGTTGAGTTTTAAGCATAAGCCCATAATCTTTTACTGGGTTGAGTAGGTATGCTGGAATTTTGTGACACCCTGCCTGCTCCCATCATTAGTATTCTTTGTCCCCTGAATTCTCTGAACTCAACTTGAGTAATAGTTTCATCTGTCAACCTCAACATGACATGCACATGCAAAAATAAATATAATGAATAAACAATTGAATTGTTGCTATATACGATTGTCATGGTGTCATGATTCCTTCAGAATGATGACTTACCCTCATTGTTGGATAACATTTACCAAGTATTAGGAGTTATTGACAGACAACTTTCATGCAATATCAGGTCAGAGATGTACGCCTCGTAGTGGACCGCATTTCTAGACGCTCCAAAGGCATTGGGTAGGAAACTACTGACAGAGAAACACACACGACATCACAACTGTATACTATCTCAATTTCTCAGAATTTTTATCTTTGTTTTCTTCTTCATATGCTAAATTTTTGTTCTGCAGATATATTGAATTTTACGATGTCATGTCGGTCCCTATGGCGGTAGCCCTGTCCGGCCAACCTCTTCTTGGTCAATCAGTGATGGTTAAACCATCAGAGGCTGAAAAGAATCTCGTTCAGTCAACTGCATCTGTGGCTGCTGGAGATACTGACCTAAGATGCCCGTACTCAGGTGGAGCTAGGAGGTTGTATGTTGACAATCTGCATTCTAACATCAAAGAAGATCAACTTCGTCAGGTAGATATATCCTCCAGTTGGTGGTTTTGCATCCAGTTCTCATTGTATGTATTCAAATAAGCATGGTCATGAATGTTGTGATCTACAATAAGCGTACGGATTATAGCTTTTCAAGTTAAATACACCAAATTAAGAATTTCATGGTTCCAATTAAAAGGATAGAGTTTTCAGGATAAAAGGAAAAAGTTTGCAGGTGGGTAAGTGTCATGATTGAATGAGATGTAACAGTTCGCAACTCCTTTAAATGTCTTTCAGCTTTAACAAATTTTGGAAAGGTCAAGGATGCTAGTGCCTGCAAAAACTAATCCAGTTCTTTTCCGGCATTTTAACAAAATGATCTAGTGCTTCCTGATGTTAAAAAGGAACCTTGAAGTTAATTTAATTAGCTACTATGTTTCCAGAGCTTCTAAACACCTTCATAGGTTTATTTTACTTAATACAACGGACAAATCTAGTATGACTGGGTGACTTGATGTTGTATTTGCTTAAGCTGATTGCCCTATATGTAGAAAAGAAAGTTAAGCTCTTAAAACTCGATTTGACACTGTAATTGAACCTTGTGAACAGTTGGGGTCACTCATATTACTTTCTGTTACTGCATGTGCTTATTGTCTGGATGAATGACATAGCTTACGCGTTTTTCTTATTGGACAATCAGTTGCACGCCGTAAAAGAGAGTCATTATCATTTGCTTGTTCAAAGAGTAGCAATTTAGTGAAAAGAAAAGATGTTTTAGGCTGGTAGGCACTGATATGTATTTGGCAACAAAAGGATGATATACTTATTGAGCCAAATGGTATAAGGTTGGCACTGCAGTGTCACACACCATGGATCACTGTTCTGACAAGGAAGGTGTTATTTTTTGAACTCTCTTGGGTTTATACTAGTTGTCTTGATTTTGCAGCAGATATTTCTCCTGTTAGTCAAGATTCTGATCTTTCCTTTTCAAAAAGTCAGGTTTTTGAACCATTTGGTACTGTTGAGTTGGTGCAGCTGCCTCCTGACCTGGAGACTGGGCATAGCTGCCGCTATGGTTTTGTGCAGGTGATTGTAGTTCTAGATATGAGTTGTCACAACATTTAAATCATGCATATTGAGTATGAGCTAACGTAATAGTCTGATGCAGAATAGCTTCACCACATAAAATAGCCTTCTTTGTAGTGAGATCTCAGTGCTCTTCGATGAACCAAGTTAAATCTTTTTGTGCACAACCATCTTGCAGTTTTCTCGCCTTGAAGATGCTAGAGCTGCACTAAGTTTAGATGGACAACTGGATATTGCAGGCCGAGTTATGAAGGCAAGTTATTTATTCTGTTTAAAACTCATGACAACCTTCATGGATTATCATTTACATTTGACATTTTGTGGCTATTTAGTGCTATGGCTCTGTTAGTGTAATAATAGCTTGGATTGTAATTAAATTTATCACGAACAAATATTGCTTTCAATACCAGGTGCTCTTTTTCTGGCTTCTACTGATCACCTTAGCTTGTATTAATGGTTGAATGACTATGGTAGATTGCAGATGACAATGTTCTTCAACCCTTCTGTTTTTCGTTGGCTGGGATTTGCACTAATTATGAGAATTGATTGCAGATGACTAATTGCCGAATGACTATGGTAGATTGCAGATGACAATGTTCTTCTAATTCTCTTCTTTTGCGCTGGGCTGGGATTTGCACTAATTATGAGAACTGATTCATTATCTTTACTCGTTTTTTCTTCATAATCAACAAATAAGACAATAATAAGGCAAGGAAAAAAATGGAAAGGCTTCAATTAGTATTGAAGCTCTATGCGTCTTGAAAGGCTCTATGCATATTTATTTCTCAAGAGCTAAATTTCTTGTTACCCTCTCTTGTTTCTAAGACACTTTTCCCTGTCATTGGACAAAATTTTGGACGTGTAACATTGATCCACATTAAGCACTGAGGGTATTCAAATGATGGGAGTTTCTTGGCCCTGCTGAATCTTAAGAAGGTATAGGTGTAATTACTATTGGACTTGCAAATTTTCTTTATACTCAATTCATATGTTTTGCAACCATCAAAATCCATCTAAACCAGAATTTGCGGCCACAATGCAAGTTCATATTATACCAAGGTAAACTACTGAAGCTAATTTTGGAGATTGTAAGATCAGCCTCTGTACCTAAGAGTTCTCTTCCCTACTGATCTGCATAAATAGATGTGGACAATCACATATTTGTATAATGAAATTTATAACTGAAATTAACTAAACAACTGATTTCAACAGTCTTGATGCTGATGTTTTGTTGCCTTGTCAAATTTATCTCTAGCTGCACTTCAAAACTTGACCACAACTACTTTGCTTAAGTGTGAGGAAGTGAATCAAATGTGTTAGTGGAAAATCTCTCCTCTCTCTGTGGCATAACTCTTTGTGTTCTGAGCTGCATTTGAACTATCCTTTGTACTTAAGTTTGAAGTTTTGAACATCTTGCGGGATCCCGTGGCAAATGAGGTAGAGATTATATCATCCTTTTTAGTTAGTTCTTGGTTTATCTCAATTGGCTGCTTAAACCATTGTCCATAAAGCATTAATTTGAATTCCATATTAGGTTCTATCTCGTGCGTTGCTTCCTTTCATCTATGCATTACCACAATTCATATTTCATAGGTCAATTTGTTTCCTTTTCTTTCATTCTGGGTGACATTCTTCACTGCTTCCTACTTATTGGCTGTGCAACAGTTGATTAGTAAGTTGGGATCTATAGTTTTTGCCTCAATGGGACAAATGTCACCATAAGAGGAGAGGGCTTCTCCCTTAGAAAATTGAAAATTTTGGAAAATATCCTTTATAAGTTTAAACTTTTTCCCCTGAAAAACTTGCAAATAGTTAATATTATATACCCAAACTTAGATATGTTAAAGTTTAACCCCAAGTAAATTTTCTGGTTACGTCTATGACCGTCTCTAATTTTGTTTCAACATTCTTATGCAGGTATCAGCTGTTACAGATCAAACTTTAAGACAAGAAGTTGGTGCAAATGCTGGAGATTTTGGTGATGATGAGGGTGGTGGTCTGGTAAGCCATTTGTGCAATATAATTGCTGGTTCTACAGCTTAATTTGGTCAAAAGTCCATTTCTTTGTCTGTTAATTTAAAGGTCATTCAAAAACTGTTTTCTGCTTGGTGTCTTTTGGGGACAACTTTAGAGATAAGTGAACTTATTCGGGCCGTAAAAGTTAGTTATGGCTCGTCAAGAAATGAATTGATATCATGCGAAAATATCATTAACAGAGACATGTCTGCTTTGTTGTCGCCTACATAAGTAGAGCTTATCTAAATTTTGATTAAAGAAAAGTATAACCGATACAAGATCTACAGAGGGAAGGAAAGGGTAAAATCTTTGTTTTTGTGGTGTTAGCGGCGATTCTGTTTGAAGGTCTAGTGATGGAAGAGTTATATGCAGAGTATGGTGATGGAAAATGCTCAGCCATTCAGGAGGTACTACTTTATTGGAGATCTAACTTTGATAATAAACAACTAGTCAGTGTTTTTTAGCTCTAGTAAGCTACTTTTTTTCATCTGTGTACTTTCTTTGAGAAATATTGCCACATCCAACCCAAGGGCCTCCCATTTTTTGAAAAGAAATTGTAAGTTCTTGCTTGGAATTCTTTGGTCATCCTTTCTGTTTGGCGTAACGGTACAATATAGAGTACTGAAATTCCACAACATATGCTTGGTTTCTTATTTAGTGTTGTTATATTTGTTCTGGTTTCTTCCTCAACATTCACCGTGAGCGTTGATTTAGTGTCACATCTCAATTTAGTCTAGTCAAAGATAATTCAAATTAGATAATAGTTAAATCTCCAGGAATGAATATGTTCATTGCTAAATCTTTTCACTTTCCCAGTTATCCCATGCCTTAAGCTGAATGGTTTCATCTGTTTTCTTTTCTAGGTACCGTTCTTAATACTTTGCTTTTCTTTAATACCGCAAATATTGACGTCATTTTTTGAATGTTTTTCAGTCTCTGAGTGCTGAATCTCTAACACTTCTCATGCAGAAGAAGCTGGATCATACTAGGATAACATCAAGGTTTGACGTATGCATTTTTTAGTGATTGCTGAATTTTTTGTACCTGTTCTTACATATCCTTCCCTCCTCCATAGTGGTGCTGGTTCTGTTGGCAGCCAGGTTGTTGATAACCCTGGCCTTTCTGCACCAGCAGCTCCAGTTCTTGGTGCTGCCCCTGAGGTATCTCCTCTTGCTCCTTTTGGACAGATTCCTGTTCCAGCACTTGCGGGATGGCCTGCTGCAGGTCTCTCACTGCCTTCTGTTACTTTTCCTTCAATTGATACTATAGGCATTCCAAGTGAATGTTTATTGTTGAAGAACGTGTTTGATCCAAAATTAGAGGTTGGTGCTGGAGACATTGTTTTGCAATCCTCCTTCTTCTTGTTTCTTTTATTGATGTATTACTTTTGCAGTCTGAACCTGAGTTCGACCAGGATATTAAGGATGATGTTGAGGATGAATGTTCAAAATTCGGAAAGTTGAAGCACATTTATGTGGATAAGTTCGTACTATCTTTTAGTACCATAACTGATTTTGGCTGCTAACTAGCTTGAATTTGCAAACTTTTGTGTATCCCAAATCTTGTCTATGCATGTATTGCCCTATCCTGCAGTAAATGTGAGTTGAAAGATGTTCATGGCTGCAAATTGGTGGCGATGCGCATTTAGCTAACAAGTAATCTCTTCTACCTCCTTGTTTCTATTCAATCTTTTTGACGAGCAGGAAAAGCGACGGGTTGGTGTACCTGCGGTTTGAGAACAATCAAGCTGCAATTGCTGCGCAGCGTGCACTTCATGGTAGATGGTTTGCTGGGAAGATGATCCTTGCAACGTTCATGGTGACAAAAAATCCCATATGCTTAAATCAATAACATATATGTTGTTCCAACAGTCAAGAACTGCATATGCTAAACCATACTGGTGGATTGTCATAATATGGATCATGATTTAGCCGTTTTCTCTCTTTTTTTTTGTTTATGTCAGTGACAAAAATGTGGTAGAAGTAGATGAATTTGTGCACTACTACTTATGCAGGTGCCGCAGAATTACGAGGTCACGTTTCCCCAGAGCAAGTAGGGCGTGCCCATTCATTTAAAGAATAGACGAAATCTCGTGCACACTCCTGCTCGTGTTACCAGCCTTGCTGCTCTTTTTGCATCATTTTCTTCTGGCTACCTTCCACTTAGCTGGTGGAGTTTTGTATCAGACAGGAACGCTATAGCATAGGTTGTTATTGTATGATCAAAGATATGAACCTCAATCAATGTAAGTGGCGATAAATACAAGATTTGTCCCATGTATAAAGGGATACTTCACATCTTCTCATTTTATAATTGTAATATCCATTTTCTTCTTTTCTTTTTTTTTCTCTTGTTTTAAAAGAGTAGGAGCCGTTCTTTAATTTACAAATAATGTTGATGATTTGAACGTATTGAAATTCAGTGCCATTCCAATAAGAAAAACCTTAATTCATAGCCACATTGAACGCGGAGTATTTAAATCGCATTCTTTAATTTTTTTTTCAAAAAAAAAGAAAGCTCAATAGGTGGGGCTTAAGTAATTTTCATCAAAATGGCTTTCCTTCCGAATTATGAGTAGCATTTTTGGTTTGGTCCTTCTAAGGAACGTGTAACAAAATAAGCTGAAATTTTTCATGCCTAAAAATTTTATCTACGATCCCTTTAGGATACTATATAGTTTGTATCGATGAGATTAAATTTACTGTTGGATACAGGATAGGAATTATAATATTTCGAAAGTTTAAACTACTAAATGATATGACAAGATTTAAATAGATTAAGTTCATGGGCGTTGTATTCAAAAGAGATCATAGCATCTCACGAAACTTTACAGGACAATAGGCTCGTGAAATTTATTATTATTGAGGAATTGAATTATCTAAAAATTTGACACTAAAGACCAAAAAGTGTAAAAATACTCGGTTTGCGAGTTGAGATTTTGGATGGGGAAAGAAAGGGAAAGAAGAGAAAGTTTAAAAATACTCTTATGCCTAGTTGGGAGATGAGATTTGAGCAGAAAAGAAAAGAAGGGAAGAGAAAGGCAGGTATTTTTCGTGTTTGAGAGTTTTAGTGAAATAGAAAGGAAGAGAATACGACTAATTGGAGAGGAGGAAGAGACCCGCTACAATAAAAAAAAAAAATTTTCTGGCCCAAATCGGACAGAAAGCAAAGGAAAGCTACAGAAAGGCTGCAAAAATTTTTTAAATTGCCCACTCTATACTTAAAAAGCTATTGAATGAAATATTTATTGATTAATATGTCCAAAATCATCTCTTTTCTTTCATAAACTCATAAACAACATTAAGGGGCCGCTTGGTTTAGGGATTTTGGTATTTGGAATTACAATAATTCTAAAATTGCGCTCTATGTCCAGTGCAATAAGAATTGAAATATTGGAGTCATGCCTTAAAATTTAGCCATTCATAATTCCCAATCAAATTGGGAGGAATTGACCAAAACCCTGGGCTCTCTAGGAATTATTCCATTTCCTAAAATCTCTTCTCTTCTTTTCTCTCGTAACTTAATCTTTCTCTTCTTTTCTTTTTCTATCCTCAGCTCACAAACTAGCTGTTAGTTTTTAGTAAAAAAGAAAAGCAAGGAAATGGGAGGATTCAAAAGGATGAACAGCAAGCTAAACTTTCCCTCTCAAATTGGATGGAAATGAAAAAGAAACTTTGAGAAAACTTGTCAATTTTTTTTTAAAATATCTATTTTATTCTTAAAAAAATTTTAAACAAATATTTAATGACTTTCATATTCAAAATCATTTCACTGACTCCCAAAAAACCCTCAAACAAATAACAATCCATTTTCTTCTCTCATAACTTATTAATTTTTCCCTTCTTTTCTTTTCTATCCTAAACTCCCAAGCCAAGAGTAAAGCTCGAAGCTGGAGTTGAGCAGGTGACCGAAGAGGCCTTTGGGGTTTTGTCGTCACTCGTCATCTTGAGACTGAAAAAAGCTTTTGAAAGAGAACCCGCAATCCCAAAGTGATTTCCAATCCTAGGGTTTTTTTTTTATGTTTTTTTAAATTCACTCTCGGAAGTCGGAAATCGGAATAACTCAGGTTCGATTCATCTTCTCCTTTACTTTACCCCACGCTGTTGATACGACAGATTTCTCTACGTGGAGATTAGAGTTTTATTTTCCCCTCAAGTTTCTTTTCTTGTAGCGAAAGAAAGTTATAATACTATCTTCCTTTTTCTTCTTTTTTGATTCTAAATCACTTTTGGTACCTTATTTTACCATTTCCCATTCCATCTCCTCCACGAAGGCATCTAATTGTCAGAGCGGCATTCACTCAGATCTCTGGCTTGGTATCCCTCCTCAACCATCGGTTTGCTGCCTGCCCAGGGAACTAGTTAAGCAGTCCAACAGAGCTTAGATGTTATTTTGATTTTGTTCAATTTTTTTTTCCTTCTATTAGTAGTTCAGATGCGAAATTTAGAAACTGGTTGATTAAATTTTTTTGTAGCCTATGCGAGTATTGTTTGTAGAAATGGGTAACTGATTGATTGATTAAATTTGTGGTTTTTGCGGTATTGTTTGTGGGAATTGTTAATAATTTAGACTGGGTTTCTTCCTTTTGAGAATTTGCATTTGAGGTTGAAAATCGGGGACTGTCTTTATTGGACAGTATTTCCTTGGTTTTGATGGAGTGCATTTTTGAGCTTCGCTATTCTCGCTTTTGGATGTTTTAGATTGGCTGAAACCCGTTACCTCCCAGGCCCTCGTCAATTTTCCTCATGAATCCATCTATGCCGTATCGATATATGCAATCTAAATACGTTTGCCATAAACTTAGTAACGAGAAATGCAAGGAAAATGATTTTTTTTTTTTTTATCAACTTTAAGGAGGACTGATCAATTAAATTTGCATTCGTGTTAGCCTGATTAGGTGGTCGTCCTCTCAATGATATTGACTTTGATTTTTCACAGCACATCAAAAATGACTCAAGACGTTGAGATGAAAGAGCAACCAGCCACCTCAAATTCTGTCGCCTTGACTGCCCCATCCACTCTGCAGCGTAAGTATCTTTCTGTTCATCTTCTAACCCTTTTACTGCGTTGCTTGGTCTTTAATCAATATTGATTAATTACTATTTCTTTAATGGAAAACTTGGGGTTTCAGACTTGAAAGAGATAGCATCACTTATTGAGACGGGTGCATATGCCCGGGAGGTCCGGAGAATAGTTAGGGCAGTTCGGCTAACTATAGCTTTGAGGAAGAAGTTAAAGGCGTCTGTGATTTCTGCATTCTTAACTCATACCCTTACACCTGGATCAGAGGTGCATTCACGGTTGTCCTCGTACATTCCCAAGGTAAGAAAGTCCTCTTTCAATTTTTTTAAATATGTGGAATTTCAGTTCTTTGGCTTGGCACCATTCTTTGTTTTTGCCTCGGTTATTTCTTAAGTGGCTTTTGTTGATGAACTGGCAGTTGTAGCATGTTTGTTGCTGAAGGAAGAATATTCTGTTTGTACATGACTATATTCTACAGTGTGTTGGGGACTTTACTCCTCAAATTATTGTTCTGGACTTTGGACAAATTGCATCTTACAGTTATCATAGTCAACTTTACCCCATTTTTGAATTAGTGTGGCAAAACTAGACAGGGCTGATTGATTCTGTGGACAAGATTTGTGTGATCACATGCAAAAAAGGGTCTAAATGGTTTATGAAAATAGGACATGGACATGAGTGTTGGTTTCATCGTTTGTTAATATGAGCTTTAATTGGAAGCTGGAGACTCTAGTTATCCCACCACTTCAGCTTGTCATTATATCTTCTCTTTTAATCGCCTTTAGGACAAATTCCGTCACTTTTAAATTTGATTTCATTCTTCAAGCTCTAAAAATATTTTGTTCAATGGTCTATTAATAGTTGGGGAAGAGTGGAATAGAGTGCTGTGTGCAAAGTAGTTGTTGGAAGTGCAAAGTGTCAATTAGTTTCATATTAAGGGTGAAAAAGTAACTCCTGTACTCATTGTACATGGTAACATCCTTGGTTTCATCTTTTTCATCAACTTGAAAGTATAAAGCCTTGTAAAATTTAAAGTTATTATGCCCATATGCTGCTCCTGCTTCCATCCAGTGAGACAACAGTAGAGGAATATTGGCCCTACTGCTATTAGTGCTTGCATTTATATGCTGAAACTCAAATTCCTGCACCCTGCCTTTAATTTGCTTGTTATACCTCCGATTTTTTGTTATTTTGCTACCTTCTTAGATAACATTTACTGCCATTACAATTGTTGCTGTAGTGTCTCCATGAATATTACTTGCAATATTGCAGCAACGAAAGTGACATCAGTTGATGAAGCAACTGGAAATGGGAATTATTTAATTAAAGGTTTTCTAGTGGTATTGGTTAGGGGTGCAAACGAATCGAGCCGCTCGATTCGAGCTCGACTCGAGCTCGATCAATATCGAGCTCGAGTCGAGCTCGAGCTCGAGCTCAAAACATTAAGCTCGTTAGGCTCGCGAGCTCGAATATATATATATTTATTTTTTTTATTTTTAATAGTAAAATTACATAAATATCCTTAATATTTTATTATTTATTAAGAAAATATATTATTTTATTTATTTTTTTAAAAATAAAATAATTATTTTTTATTTTTTTAGAGCTCGAGCTTGAAAATTACCAGCTCGTCGAGCTCGAGCTCGAGTTCGAGTTCGATGAAATTAAGTTAAGGCTCGACTCGATAAGGCCAAAGCTCGACTCGGCTCGGCTCGTTTGCACCCCTAGTATTGGTGGTGCGTTAATCCTATTGTGGGAATTGTGGAAATGGCTTTTGAATTATCATGTAAGTAATACGAAAAGAATTGAGAGATGATTTTCTTTGTACAAAATCGTATCCATTATATGTCTGTCAGACATTTTCTATCCAACAAAATGGACTCGTAATTGGTATGTCTTCATTGCCTTCCGTTTAGTGCAAATATCATGTTTTTTCCATTGTATTGTCAAACAAATGCAGTGCTGTTAATAATTATGCAGCTTGACAAACTTAAATGCTTCTTATAGGATGATGAACATGAAATGGAAGTTGATACTGCAACATCTGCAACCCAAGCCCCTACAAAGCATTCTCTGCCAGAGCTTGAGATTTATTCTTGCTTGCTTGTCCTCATATTTCTCATTGATCAAAAAAGATACAATGAGGTATACTTTCTGTCACCCCACATTTTTGTATATTCCGATATAGTTCTTAATGTAAAAGACTATCTCCCTGTTGTTCTACAGGCTAAAGCATGTGCCTCAGCAGGCATTGGACGCTTAAAGAACTTCAATAAGCGAACTCTTGACGTTCTAACATCCAGGCTTTATTTCTATTACTCTTTGAGCTATGAACTTACTGGTGATCTTGCTGAAATTCGTGGGTGAGTTATGATTTTTACTTGCTATTGCATATACTTCATCCCCTTGGTATGATGCATGATATAATTGGTTCATGAGCATTTGGCAGCTGGTGCTCATTTTTCCATTTCATATGAATATATGATGCATGGAATAAATGGTTCAGAAATAATTCAGACGCTTATTTTCCATTTCTGTGTGCGTTTGCATCTGTCTGTGTATTTGTGGGCATATTTTTCTTCAGTACCCTTTCCTTCCAAAACTTTGCCTAACAGAAAGTTTAAATCGCAGAAACCTGCTTGCTCTGCATCGGATTGCAACACTTCGCCGTGATGAGCTGGGTCAGGTTTGTAACCTAAAACAGTAGCTAGTTTGTTGTCTTAGTGGCAGCCTTCATCATACTTAACAGCTTAGTTGATACAGGAAACACTTCTCAATCTGTTGCTTCGAAATTACCTCCATTATAATTTATATGACCAAGCAGAGAAGCTGAGATCCAAGGCACCCCGTTTTGAAGCTCATTCAAATCAGCAGGTAAATCCAATATTCTTTTTATCTTAGTTTTCTCTCGTGCAGAATCCGTCCATGTGCTTGGGATATTTTATCTTATCTTGTCTGGAACTTGTTGACTTTTCTGCACCAATAAGTATTAGAATCAAAGGATCAAATGAAGGAGTATATTTGGGTTAATTACTTTTACTCCCCTCAGACTTGGACAAATTACATTGAACCCCTTCCGCTTCTCAACCACTCCACAGCCATTGTTGAACAACTTCTCTGGCTGGAAAGAGAAAGAAGAAAAACAAAAACTCTTTCATGAATAACTCCTATGATTGAGGGCAAGTTTTGTTAGAGGAACAAGAAGCAATCTGTAGATATATTGATTGGAAAAATATCTGCTGAAATTATATTAGAATGAATTGGGACAATAATTAAATGGCAAAGTGATGGAAAAAGACGGTTTCCAAGGCTATTCAAACTAAAAGAACCTGGAATGGAACTTTGACTTGACGACAAACACTATTTTAGTTTTTTTTCTTTCAAGGAAAAGTTTAGTAATAAAGTGGGAGGAAATTCAATTTGTTCTCTTAATCGATTTGGCAGACCCAAAGAAACTTGATTAATTTTTTTAATTTTACTGCTGGAAGGATGTCTCCGTTTAATCGTTTTTCTTCTTCTTCTTTTGGTTTTTTTTTTTTTTGGGGGGGGGGGGGGGGGGGGGGGGGGGGGGGCTCTCGTTGAATGGGTTCCGATTCACACTATGTTACTTTGGTATGGTGGTTGAGATGGTAGTTGGGCTATTAGATTGCTGTAGAAGGTTTGAATGGTCTAATGGAAGACATTTTATATTTTACAATTTTGGTACTCAATAAGGGTATTTCAAATGTAGAAGCTTTGCTACTAGACTAATCAAATGGGAATGAAAAAAAAGGTTTGTTCTGATTGAGTCAGAAAATGTTCATGGCAGCACTAATCAAAGGGGTAATGCACCATAGTAGTACATAAAAAAAAAACTACATTCTATTATTTGATCATCTGGTCTAATCTGTTTGATGCATAATATGGATGCTTAGAATCTGCAATCTTCTATGCCTCATCCTCGATTTCTTTATTCCAGTTTTGTCGCTACCTCTTTTACCTTGGAAAGATCAGGACAATTCAATTGGAATATACTGATGCTAAAGAATCCCTTCTGCAAGCTGCAAGGAAAGCCCCTGTTGCGGCTCTCGGTTTCCGAGTTCAATGCACTAAATGGGCTGTGATAGTACGTTTACTGCTTGGAGAGATCCCTGAGAGGACTGTTTTTATGCAAAAAGGAATGGAGAAAGCTTTGAGACCATACTTTGAGCTTACAAATGTGAGTTTGTGTTGTCTGGTTTCTTATCTTTTTGGTTCATAAAATTTGGAACTTTTAAAGGTATGTAAAATTTGGAACCTTAAGGTAGCATGATTTAAAGATTTCGTTGTGTGGGAAACACACGAGAGGGGCTAATGATACTTATTGCATGTGAACAATAGTAGTGTAGCAGTGGAGAAATTAGTTAATTGTAGGACGGAATTGCAATATTTAAAGTAGTAGGCTAATTGTTTGAGACCTTTTATTCTGCTTGGTCATGAATTGAGGACACTGGCAGTTTGCAGCCCCCTCATACCAGAAGAATCTTTCACAACTGCAGAGCGATGAGAATCCCAAGCAATCGTAAATAAAAAGGATTCAATTAGCATGTTAATATATTCCTGATTTTGGCTTTAGAAATTGATTCTTCGTTGGTTACAATGATTCAGGCTGTCCGAATTGGAGATCTGGAGTTGTTTAGGACAGTTGCTGAGAAGTTCTCAAGCACTTTCAGCTCAGACCGAACCAACAACTTGATTGTGAGATTGCGGCATAATGTCATTAGGACAGGGCTACGTAACATTAGTATCTCATATTCCAGGATTTCACTGGCTGATGTTGCTAAAAAGCTGCGGTTGGATTCAGCAAACCCTGTTGCTGATGCTGAGAGCATTGTGGCTAAAGCAATTCGGGATGGGGCCATTGATGCTACACTGGATCATGCTAATGGATGGATGGTGTCCAAGGAGACTGGGGACATTTACTCTACTAATGAGCCTCAAATTGCTTTTAATTCAAGAATTGCTTTCTGTCTTAATATGCATAACGAGGCGGTTCGTGCCCTCCGATTTCCACCAAATTCACACAAGGAAAAAGAATGTGCTGAGAAGAGGAGAGAAAGACAACAGCAAGAGCAAGAGCTCGCTAAGCACATAGCCGAAGAGGATGATGACGAGTTCTAATGGAAGGCCCGTGATAGGCAATCTCGGGACCATGCAAGATGATTTCCCTGTCGGAACTGCTCCTTTTTCCTTGAAACTCAACTGCTACTGCTTGTACTACTTGTTTTGAATAGCTTTTGCCATTCTTTTACGTCGGGACGTGAGATTTTTCTTTTAGTTTCAGTTATTGTTGTTTCATCATTTAACTTACATTGCATAAACCTGTTAATTAATCTCCTCAGGGTATTCGTACTTACCCCAGCTAACCATTGATTTTGGCTCATTCGATTGCTTTTTATTTACTTGCAACAGCAGGCCTATACTCGATTATGGAAATTTTTGGTCTCTGTTTCAGTGGGTGAGATTAGAGATTTGTTAGATTTTATAAGTGGGATAATTTCAGGAACCTCCCTGAGGTTTCCTTGAGATTTTCAATATTACACCAAAATGATCATAATAGCCTTCACATATTAATATTTTTCCATGCAATTAAACAATACACTGCTAATCTTGTTCATATGAACGAATCACACAATTGGATATTTAATGAAAATAAAAATAAAATTCACTCGTGGAATAACCGATCATGTCCTAAACACAATAATAATATATTAAAAATTAATTTTAGGCTTGTTTGGATGATTTGGAGATGAATAGAAGAAGATATAAATTGGGATTAAAAAGGATAGGATACTCTAATATTTGAGAGATAGGATGTTATATTGATGTGGTTATTGAAATTTTTTAAGTTTAACAGTGCATATTTCTTTTTAATTTCGATTGAGGTTTTAGAATTTAGGGGTTGATGGTGTCATGGTGATAATGGTCATGGTGATAATAGTACTAATTTGAAATGTGGTAATATTAAAGGTTTAAAATAGCAGAGATGAGCGTTGAAAATGAATTTGAGATTTTGTTCATGTTCCCTAATTTTTAAATAATTATGTAAGAAGGTAAACTGAACCTCACAATTTCATGAGGGCATTTTGGATTATTCATTCAAAAATTTGACCATTAAATAGTTTTTGTAACCAAAATAGTAACCTCGAGAGAGAGGTATACGTAATTTTTCAAATCTCAAAAGAACTAGTTGAAATTGTTAAAAACCTTACGGGAGGTTTCTAAAATTATCCCTCTAAAAATCACCAAATCTTGAAGTTAGATCTAAATTTTTTTCTTCAAACTTGAAGCAATTTTATTCAGATCTGACATTCATCTTATGATACTCCTGGAGTTCCAGTATTATGATCAAGTTTTCAGTTTTTCAGATTTGGCGTCTCATTTGATTTTTAGTATCTCTGCTACTCATGGTCGGTCGAAACAGCTTCAAAAGACAAAAATTAAGTCCTTAGATTTCTAGTCAAAGTCTTCGACAGAATGATATGCAAGTCAAAGTATTATGTCGAGGAGAATTAAAAAGAGAATATGTAGAGTATAGTATAAAGGTCCACACCTATTTTATTGCTACAAAATAAGGACTAGAATTCTTTACATTTCCTTTCCAGGCATACAGCTGAAATCAATTGACCAGCAAAATTAACCCACCCACATCCAAGCTGGAATTACTGGTAAATGGCCTCGCAAATAACAGAGAGCTGCTGCTACAGGTGACTATATCCACATTTGTGCATCATCACCCAGTTGGACTAAATCCAAAAGACTTGACAATGTTGCTGACTCTATCTGCAAAAACCCTTGAGGTTATTTTCTTCCCAGGGACATGAAACGGGTTTGATACTGCATCAACATAAGCAGCATGGAACCTCCTGAAGAACTAGTAATTTACATCAAATAAATCAAAGTCAGCTGAGATGTCCAGAAGTTAAAGACACCCTACAAACCATTAAAACTTAACCAAACTAGTACCATTATTGAATTTCTACTATCACGAGTTTATTGAAAGAAAAGATGATGACGATGAAGAAGAAGTTGTGCAAGACGAAGTCATCAAAAAGATTTCTTTTTTTTTGTTGTTTGAAGAGAAGAGGGGGGGGGGGGGGGGGGGGGGGGGGGGGGGGGGGGGGAGGGACATGATCTGCATCAAGACTTGAAGTTCAGTAGCACCAATTAATTTGTCACGGCACAGGCACGAGTTCATTGAAAACCAACTACAGCCAGAGAGAGGGGCGATACAACCTCATTGCAGCTTTCAACATCATCATTTGTGCTCATATTATTCTTGCAACTCAATGATGCGAGATTTGTGAATGTTCAAAGCATTGAGTGTGAAACTTGACCCAGCAGTGCTGGGGAGGAAGAGGGGGAAAATGGAGGGGATATTACCAGTGTTTAAGCCCATTATTACATAGATCATGGCTCAATAAGCTATGGAATCAAAATTTTCACATTTGCAGAGAAAAAAAACTTACGTTTCTAACATCTGCATCCCGGACGTCCAGATCTGTTGTAACCAATATAAACTTGACCTTTGTGTTAGTCAGATAACCATACCTGCAAATATGCAGAGAGATGTAAAGACCAAATAGAGCAACAACAGCTATGTAATAATCTTGTAAGTTCCCACTCCTATATGAGTGGATTGGATATTTAAGCATCAAAATACTCTTACACTTTGTAGTTTTCAGTCGGATACAGCATACCAAGAAATGTCTCATTCAGAGTGGGGCCAGATTTTTTCGGATTGTTCACTGCAAGAGAATGAGGATGAACTTTTAAAGTGTTCTTTGTCAAAAAATGCCAAAGAAAATGTGTAAACATGATTTTTGGTGATCCAGAATTTCTCAATCATCAGACATAGATACAGATTAAGTTGAGATGCTTCAGACAAGAATTACGCCTACCATAATTCTTTCTAATGAAGCCTTTATCCACAATCAGAGCAAGAACATGATCATATCATTAAATTATTGCTAATATATCCCCCCCCCCCTGGGGGCCCAAAAAAAGGAAGGAGCAGCGATGTTTACACAAAAACAGGGAGAAACATAAAGGAACTTATGCCATGGGACACAGTTGCAGAACCACATGTAATAGTTCTCATCAAAAAACTAATCATGCTAGACTTCACATGCTAAATGCCCAATAACTGAAACGCCACATTCTGTACTATCAATCAATACAGAAGAATACATCATATACAAACATATGGAATCAGCAATAACTCGCACAGTAACCACTCATTCTGTTACTCTCTCCTAGTACACGCAGGCAGAGATATAAGCACACTAAAGAAATGTGACACTGCTAGAAATAATCAGCCTTTGGAACAGGATATTGCACCAGCAGAAGGAGAGATAGTAACCAGAAAAGATTGACAGAAGCGTTCATTCCAGACTGAGAAGTGAACAAAGCATTTGCATTTGTCTCCAGCAAGTAACTCCAATCGATAAAGATCTAGTGCCGTGAATATTAATCTCTCTAGTTAAATGTTTTTAAATGAAGCTGGCTAAGCGAAATACATATGCAAATTGGCATGGCTTCTGACTATCTTAATTATACAAAATTTAGCAGTACAGTACAGCAGGTTGAGTGAGCTAAACCTTTATTCAAGAAATGAGATAAATAGGCAACGCCAAACAAGAAAAAATAAGCGAACAAATCGAACAGTGGAAATCGTGTATGAAATGTATATATGTTGAGCTCAGCAAAATAATAGTTTAGAATATCAGAAATTCAGAAGACTCTATCTAGTGAAGATGAGTTCAGACTACAACAAGTGTTGCTTAGCTCGTAACTGAAAGTTATGCATATAATGATTCCATCTCATTAGTACAACAATTAAATCAATGCATTTACTGCTAATATAGGTTATTTACTTGAACGGGAGCGCTTAAAAGAACCAAGTAGTCATTAAGAAGCAAAAACACCAGGCAAGATCCGGAAGAGGAAGAGGAAGAGGACCTCTTTCGTCAACGACGTCAAGGGAGCAGTGGACGATGTGGTGAAGCTTGAGGGCATCATCTGCTTCCGTGAAGCTCTGTATGTATAAGGGATTATTCTAATCCCGCCGCCGGAAAATCAAGAAATGCCATCAGTTGGCCGCTGCGTCTTTGCCATGTGATGTGTTTATTGAAAATGAAAGAACGAACGAGATTGTCTTATTAGGATCCAAAACATTACAGAAAGGTGAATGGGCAGCGTACCTGGTGGCCGACGACTGCAACGCAAACGATCATCGTCTCTTCAGTCCGATCAGCACTGGGACCAACCCCTTTGCCGCTGCACCAGTCGGAGGGACGCCGCGAGATCTATATGGTCTCTTCTGGGCAAATTGACCAAATAGTCTTTCAGCTCTTTACTGAACCAATTTTGGTCCTTTAACTTTAACTCTGGTCCCAAAAATTGGGATAATTTGAGAAACCTCCCCTAAGGTTTATAGCTATTTCACTGGCCTCCATTCAGATTTTGAAATTTGCATTAACCTCCCTTGAAATTTATTATCTTGTAATATCTAGGTCCAACCACCAATTAAAAAGTAATATTAAGAGAGAGAAGATAATGTGATTTCACTATTACCTCTCATATATTAAATTATTTAATTAATCTAATATCAATCCAAACATTAAAAAAAACACTAAAATTTGCATATCATCAAGGATTAAATTACATATGGCATCAAATATAGTATATCATTCTATATATTTCATTTAATATAAGACCCAAATTATTCTTTTTAGTTTCAAACCCATTGTCAAACAAGGTCAACAACAAATAATCAAAAAAATCTGTAACCAAAATATTACAAAAAATGAATTTTAATATCATAAAAATTTCAGCAACTAACTTTAATATATTAACAAGAAAATTTGTGATGTTAAAGTTTGTTCTCTGTAATATTTTAGTTACAAATTTTTTGTATTATTTTTGTTGATCGTATTTGACAATAGGTATGTAACTGAAAAGAGTAATTTGAATCTTATATTAAGTAAAAAATATAAAATGATATACTATTTTTTGATACTATATGTTATTTGATCCTTAATAATAAATAGCAAAATTTTAAGTGTTTTTCTTTAATGTGTGGATTGGTATTGAATTAACTAAATCATATAGTAGATGAGGGACAATGATTGAATCATACATTCATATTATCTTCTCTTTTCTAATATTATTTTTTAATTATTGATTGAATTTAAATAGGGTTGCAAACAAATTGAATCGAGACAAGTTTTAGCCTAATTGAGCCAAATCTTGACTTAGTTTTATCAAATTTGAACTCGAACTCAAGATCGATGAGCTGCCAATTCGTCTCGAACTCGCGGTCGAGCTTGAAAAAATAAAAAATAATTATTTTATTTTTTGAAAATAAATAAAATAATATTT